AGCAGTCCCGGAAAGTTATCCACCTGTTGGGTAAAGGCAGCGAACTCCAGGGTCGCGCTATCACCTATGAGGGGCGTGCTGCCTATTTGCCCAAGAGTCACTTGCTCGTGCCTCAACATGAAGGGCTCCGAGAGGATTTCCCTTGTGTCGCCTTTGAGTTGAGGAAAGAAGTCATACCAGGTAGGCGCATCTAACTCGAAGGACAGCGTGGGGCCGAAAGGGGACAACCCAGTCAACACTCGGTGTGAGATTTTTGGAGGCCATGTCCAACTTATTGCCCGTGTCAATAGTGGGTTGGTTCGCGGACACCGCTGCCTCGGCCCATTTTAACCCGTTTGAGCTCCAGCAGGGAGCCTGCGGAAGGTGGTCTCTATCCCATTAAGGTAAAGCTGAGGGTGAGAACCAAAACTAGAGGCCCTGAGGCCAACAAATTCAACCCTTGTGATCTTGCAGCCTCACCACATCCGGAAATTGATGTCGGAAGTTGGAAGTGGCTTCAAAAACTTCATCAAAAAGGTGAAAAAGTTGAATGGAGTTCGTGACCTCTTACAAGAAGTGCGAAATCGACCTGGTGTCTTTTGGAGTGCAGGCAGCAGTCTTACTCCAAGGCAGTGAGGAGCCTGCCCTGCGTTGCCAGAGAGTGCTGCAGGTCTGATGGTGAACTAGGACCAGGGTTTGTGGCAGTTCCACTATCACAGACGGAATGGTGGGAAAACTTGTTGGGTGAAAGCATCAGCGTGTGGACGCCTGTGCGGTCCTGAACAGCTATCGGCTCCTTGGCCGTGGGCCCCAGGGAAAGGATTGTGGCTTGCAGAGTCCAGGTATTTTCTGGAGGTGGCGCCTTCGGGTCTTAAAACTTTCTGCGGGTGTTTTATTTTGTGTTTGAATTGTCTCACAAGGTCCAACCAAGACCGCGCAAACGCCATGAGCTAGCGCCGTCCCGAAAAAAAGAAAATAAGAGAGAGAGAGAGAGAGAGAGAGAGAGAGAGAGAGAGAGAGAGAGAGAGAGAGAGAGAGAGAGAGAGAGAGAGAGAGAGAGAGAGAGAGAGAGAGAGAGAGAGAGAGAGAGAGAGACAGCAGCGACAGAGACAGCAGAGACAGAGACAGCAGAGACAGAGACAGCAGAGACAGAGACAGAGACAGAGACAGAGACAGAGACAGAGACAGAGACAGGGACAGAAACAGGGACAGGGACAGAGACAGGGACAGGGACAGGGACAGAGGATAGAGGACAGAGGACAGAGGACAAAGGACAGAGGACAGATCACAGAGGACAGATCACAGAGGACAGAGGACAGAGGACAGAGGACAGAGGACAGAGGACAGAGGACAGAGGACAGAGGACAGAGGACAGAGGACAGAGGACAGAGGACAGAGGACAGAGGACAGAGGACAGAGGACAGAGGACAGAGGACAGAGGACAGAGGACAGAGGACAGAGACAGAGGACAGAGACAGACAGAGAAGGAGAAGGAGAAGGAGAAGCAGAATGAGAAGGAGAAGGCGAGGGCGAGGGCGAGGGCGAGGGCGAGGGCGAAGGCGAAGGCGAAGGCGCAGGCGCAGGCGCAGGCGCAGGCGCAGGCGGAGGCGAAGGCGGAGGCGAAGGCGGAGGCGAAGGCGCAGGAGAAGGCGCAGGAGAAGGCGCAGGAGAAGGCGCAGGAGAAGGCGCAGGAGAAGGTGCAGCAGGAGAAGGCGCAGGAGAAGGCGCAGGAGAAGGCGCAGGAGAAGGCGCAGGAGGAGAAGGCACCGGAGAAGGCGCAGGAGGAGAAGGCGCAGGAGGAGAAGGCGCAGGAGGAGAAGGCGCAGGAGGAGAAGGCGCAGGAGGAGAAGGCGCAGGAGGAGAAGGCGCAGGAGGAGAAGGCGCAGGAGGAGAAGGCGCAGGAGGAGAAGGCGCAGGAGGAGAAGGCGCAGGAGGAAGAGGCGCAGGAGGAGAAGGCGCAGGAGGAGAAGGCGCAAGAGAAGGCGCAGGAGAAGGCGCAGGAGAAGGCGCAGGAGAAGGCGCAAGAGAAGGCGCAAGAGAAGGCGCAAGAGAAGGCGCAAGAGAAGGCGCAAGAGAAGGCGCAAGAGAAGGCGCAAGAGAAGGCGCAAGAGAAGGCGCAAGAAAAGGCGCAAGAAAAGGCGCAAGAGAAGGCGCAAGAGAAGGCGCAAGAAAAGGCGCAAGAAAAGGCACAAGAAAAGGCGCAAGGGAAAGGTAAAGGGAAAGAGAAAGAGAACGAGAACGAGAACGAGAAAGAGAAGAAAGAGAAAGATACAGCAAAAGAGAAAATACAAAGAAAATTATAAAAGAGAGAGAGAGAGAGAGTGAGTGAGTGAGTGAGTGAGTGAGTGAATGAGCGAGAGAGAGACGAAGAGCGAGGAGCATCCGGCTTGCCCCATCCAAGTCTCTCGACGCATCACATGAGAAAACATTGCAGTGGTCGCAGTGAAGTGCCACTCGATGTATTGCATGAATTCCGACACACAGAGTGCGCCGAAGATCGACGAGGTCAGCGTCGGCAGTTCCTTCTTCAGGGTTGCAAAGAGCTCACGCGTCGTTTCGGGTTGCCTTAACCGAAAGAGGGCCTTTATTGCGAGGCGTCGCGGATTCTGTGCTGCCGAAAATTGGTAAGCCAGCTTCTGCTCCCTTCAATGGACAAGGGCGGTGAGAAGAAAGTAAACCGGATGTCCACGCAGCGATGGCTCAATGACAAATCAGCCGTGCGCATGTGAAGGCTGCGTATGTTTGCGCGGTAAGCAAAACAACACTAGGAGTCCCAGCGCCAACACTTTGCTGAAGCCTTTTCCCCCACCGAAAGAAGGATGAACACTTAGACTCCAGTGTGCAGCCCGTCTGATACGTCATGATACGTCACAATTCGTATTGATTGTTGTCTCGAGTCCGAGCCACCACACGATGCTCAATGCCTGGATTGCAGTTGCCGTTGCACTCGGCGGGCGAATTGCAACGTCTGAAGGCGGGTCCCGGAGTGCTCAGTTCCGCAATGTGCAATTGCTCTTGCTTCACAGCTCCATCATGAACAGGTGTTAGCACAGGCCGTTGTTGCAGGGTCTTTGTTTTATGTTAGGCTTCGAGGGAGTTTGGTATCTGATGGGTTCTTCCCAATCTGCTCTGCAAAGGTGTCAGCCACGCTTGGGCCTTCACGAAGCCTTCTATGAACCCCAAATCTGTCTTGACTCAGGAACCAAGCCCCCCAGGAAAGACTGCCACTAGTTAAGCGGAAATTTGCAGCAGGCCCTTGGGTGAAGTGGGTGTAAGGTTTTGTAACATCAACAAGAACGAGTACTACTGTAATTGAAAGGGATGACGGCAACAAGTCGTGTCAATAATTTCCATGAGCAAGAAGCTGGGAAATTTGTGCCCGCTCTCAGGCACTGATGTTGACTCGCCCTGGCCTGAACCTGAACCTGAACCTGGTGAGCAGGCAGGGCAACCTGCCAAACGTAATGAATGAGCAAATAGGTCATACAGGTGCCTGAAGCAGGTACAGGATCCGCGAGCTGAGTTGCCTCATGCACCTCCAGTCTCAAGGAACGACTTTAGTTGGTACATGTTGGTACCCTGCCACCTCGTCTTTTTGTGGCGATTTTTTCCGGAGCATCTCCGGCTTTTCTTGTTGGCAAAAAAGGCACCATGCACCAGGTCAAGATGGCAGATCTGGATGTTTCTTTCTTAGGAATCTGCACGGTCGCTGTTTCGAACGACACGTATATTTTTGCCATGACCCACCCGGATGCAAATTTAGCCTGGTCATGGTGACACATGTGGTTCCCTCGGACCTCCCGCCGTTTGCGTGAAACCCAAACTGAGCCGTGGGGTGCCAAGCCTTGATATGTGCAATATGTGACCCTTTGAAAATGGCCGATCCTGATGTTTTTCACTTCCAACCCTGTGCTCAGCAAAAGGCTCATACTTTGGAGACCACCTCCCGTTGGAGGTCTGCGGCGCGCTCAGCATCTCGACGCTGGCCGCCTGGTGCCGCGGTGCGCCCGTGCCTCCGGGCTGCTACCTCATCAACGTGCTGCTGGGCTGAGGGTTTAGGGTTGATAGGGTTTAGGGTTCAGGGTTTAAGCTTTATGGTTTAGGGTGTAGGGTGTAGGATGTATGGTGTAGGGGGTAGGGGGCTTCTTTGAATTGGGGGATCGGCATCAAAATGAAGGGATAAGAGCTCCACCCGCATCAGAAGCTGTGGTGTGTCTTTTGTCCAGATGACTTTGTGCATGTTGGCGAAGAGCAGGTGCGTTTTTCTGATCTTCCCTGCCTCTCTGGAGGATGATAGTTTTCCTATCTTTCAATACTTTCCGGTGTCCACACTGGCATGATGGGCTTAGCTCCTTTCATCTTTCAGTTCCACTGTATTGCGTGGGAGTCGAAGATGCGGTTCCAAGTCTTGACAGGACATGGGAGCGACAAAGAAAGTTACCGGGAAGCTGCCCAAGGCTTGAAAGGAACTCGGATACTGGCGTAACGTCCGTAACGTGCTTTGGCGTGGAGCAACTACGTAAAGGTTGGAGCCGACCGGAGGTGAGAAGCGTAGCAGCGCACACGAGACGCCATCGCAATGGAAGTCCTGATTGAAAGCCTGGCAAAGAATTCGTGCGAAAATGACTAGGTGGGTGTACGAAAATCCCCCAGTATCGACCCCCAAATACTAGGATTCCCTTATATTAAGGACCCTCATTTCGGAAACCCCCAAACGTAAGCCTTCCGGTGAAATTCCGTGCCAAGGTCGGTTTCCACTGAGCTGTCCAGCGGCTGCCAGCTGAGGGGCCCCAGCGTCGGAAGCCCGCGCGCTGCATCCTTGATGGGCGAAGGCTCCCTGGCAGGCAGCGACCTTCTGCTCGCCGGCCGGCTGCGTTTTTCCGTGCGCCTGAACCTCAATGGGCGCCTCGGATGCCGTTCCTCCGGACCAGGGAGAGGCATGTGCGATTTCCGGACGGGAGACAGCGCAAGAACCGAGGTCCCTAGCGCTGGAAGATGCGCAGGTCGTCATGTCGGGCAGCATGGCCACGGAAGACGCAAAGAAGGGCGGCGCATTCGTTGCCCAGGGTGCTGTAACCCTGAGCAGGGCAAACTTGACAGCCACCTGGGCCGCGTTATGCCAGAACAGTCGTGATGTCGTGGTTACTTCATCCGTCAAAGTGGAACTGAGTAGTTCTGCTCCTGGTCGGTGTTCGCATAAATTTTGTACCGCATGATGCCATAGACCCCCGCATGCAAACTTCTACTCTTGGCACCATGTCGACATGATTTCCAGTTCGTCCTGTGTAGTACAGCTGTTCAGGTCGAGGGCACGCGAGCACGACAGGGAGGTGGTTTTTATGCCGGCAACCTGATGCTTGCCTCATGATCAGGTCCAGCAATCGCATCGGGTAGATCAAGTGATCTCGCTGTGCGTTGAAGCACGCCTGTTGTTGTCTTTGCTTCCGCCTCATCTCAGCAGGGCTGCGTCTCCACACAACTGTTCTGTTGTAAACGCTGCCTTCAGGCTTCAGGTTGGACATTGACTCTGCTGCTAGTACTTTCTGCCAGTGCTACTAGTGCTACTGTGACGATTACGGCCACTTCGGGCACGCAGACGAGGGCCGCTACATTGACTACGACAGCTCTGACGACTAAAACCACTTGCACAGCTGTCCTATGCACTGCAGTTTTGTTAGATGGCGTCCATAGGGCTAATTTCCGAAGTGGCGTACTAGGTCGGCCAGAAGGCAGCGCGCCATTAAATATTCGTGCTGCTTGTCCTTTTAGTTCACCTCTCCTCGAAGTGGCCAAGGTAATGATCTTACACAGTCACAGCAGCATCTGTCTCGAAGGGACTGATTTGCATTGCATGCGCCTTCAGCCCAGAGAGAATTCGCTTACATTCACTACTCTTGATCCACGTCGCTAGATGCAGCATGAGTGTTGCCCTATGCGGGCATGCATCGACTTGCTTTGACAGCCAAGGACACTTCTCCATGCGACGCTTTCCATCGTCGACAGCATCGCCACGACAGGCGGGCCAAAGTTGTACGAGTCAAGGGGTGCCATGAACAACCCAAAACCCTAGACCCTAGACCCTAGACCCTAAACCCTAAACCCTAAACCCTAAACCCTAAAACCCTAAAACCCTAAAACCCTAAACCCTAAACCCTAAGCATTATTTCTTGTGCTGTAAAAGCATTGGGGTTCAGGGGGTCCAGGTACATACCGTGTTTTAAGTCCTTCCTGCCATAGGGGTAGAACTAGCAATTGATCATTCTTGCATTGCTGGTCCTGGGGTTCCGGCGCCTGTAACGCGCCTGGCGTTTGAACCGCTTCTTCACGTTTCACGGTTTTTTCTTGTTTGGGGAGAGGGGGGGGGGTAAGAATGTCAGTCATATTGCGTTCATGCCCAGGACACTAGTAGTTTTCACGTTTTTGTACAACATACTGCACAAGGATGCAGAAAAAGACATGTTGTCACAAGCATCCATGCCTTTGGTGCTTTTCCCCAAACACTGGCGTTTGCAGTGTTTTTGCCTGTTTGTGCAACATACTGCGCAAGAATGTGGAACAAGGCACGTTGTCACAAGCATCCATGGCCTTTGCGACCATGGTTTAGGGTTTAGGGTTTAGGGTTTAGGGTTTAGGGATGCCCAAAACACTTGTATTTTCTCCGTTTTTTCTTCGTACAACATGCTGCGCAAGAATGTGGAACAAGACACGTTGTCTCACAAGCGTGCAAAGCCTTGGCCGGCCTCTGCAGAAAGTGCAAGGCCTGACAAAGTTTCGTGGGGAGGCTCCGTGAAATCGGTGCTGCCGCCTGTGTTTTTGCACGGTTCTCCTATACATATACAGGCTGTCTCAGGGACTCGTGGCCTTCTGCTTCATGCGTTCTGCTGTAAGTAACGTGTGTTCCCAGTCGTGGGGAGCAGCTTCACTCTGCAATACGTAATCCATGCTGAGACTCTTACAAAGGCCCGAATAGACTCGCGCGGCATGCTATTCTCTATTGGAAAGCGGGCTGAGTATTGAAAAAAGTATGAGTTCGGTTTTCGCCGATACTGCTGTGAATCGCGGTTTACCGCTTTCAGTCATCGCTAGGAGGGTCCTAACGCTCTAAGGTCGCCGGCCAGCAATTTTGGGTCCCCGCAAGCTAGGCTAAAAGCCACATGGGGGTTTACGAACATAAGGTACCCCTTAACATAGTCCCCAAATAGTAGGATTCCCTTATAATAAGGACCCCAAGAAGAGGTACATCTTCAAAGTTCCATACCAAGTAATCATTTGCATGGCGGGGGTGGTTTCAGCTATGAGCAGACTTGTAAGTACCCGAACAACCCTTAGTCGCGGGTGGCACATGGGGGGAGGATGCACAAGGACCTCCCTCCAAAGGGCAACCGAAACCGGACCAAACACACATTTAGGGATCGCGCGTGCAGCGCTTCTCTTTTGGCTGCGCTCCTGAGGCTCGGGCGGTGGCTTTTACACACCCGGCGAAGTCACCATGGACTGTGGGTTCTAGGAGGGCAAATGGGAGTTAAGGTTTCGATGGAATCGCCGGTAGGAATCCCGGTACTTTGCTATGCTAAGATTGTTGTTGACATGGCATCCATTCAAGCTTATCTTTGTGCGTGTTTGGCTTAAGTCAGTGAAGTATCCTTAACTTTAAGCTCTATAACGAAGATCCCAAATGAGCAGGATCCTGGCAACACACACGGGGAAACAGAAACCCCACTTGCTTTCAACACCTGAGAACTGTGAGTCTTCCAGAATGGTTGAAACATGTAGTCTAAGTACACTTTCAAGGCTCTGGTTTCTTGTCTATCGTTACTGTTTGTGGGCCTAGAACTTCCGAGGTTGTGGCTTGTGCTTCATGTGTATCCTTCTTGGGCCGATTCTTGGGACTTCATAGTGGTGCGATCTCGAAAGTTTCTTCGACTTCTTTTCGAGGTTCTACAGAGGCTAGATCGATACGACATATGTGCATATATGTATAGCACTTGTTACAACCACAACACGCGTTCATGCCGAGTAACTAAATGTATTCTGGGGCGGCGACATTTTGTTCACAAAAACCTTGTCACCCTTGCCGCGAGGAGCACTCAGTCATGTCGCTCCAAGACACTCATGCAGCAAAGTATGGAGGTGGCTTCTTTACGCAAAGGGGAGTTCGTTTGAGGCACGCCTCTTTGTACATCTTCAACAGCACGGCGAGCTGTGGCGGGGGGTTCGATTGTGCGTCTCTAGAGCTTGTGGCTTCCGTTCTGAGCGCACGCAGGGCCAGCGCGGAGACATTTGGTGGGGCTTTCCATGTGGCCTCGATGTACGCAAGAAGAACGTATGCCTACTTCACAGACTCGCAAGTATACATGGACGAGTGCGTGGCAGGAGTCCATGCCGGAGGCTTTTTTGTGAGGCCGACGGGCGATGTCAGCATAACAGGCTCGGAAGTTAGGGTGTCCAACACGAAGGCTGGCCGGGAGGCCGGGGGCTTCCGTGTGGGCTCCTTGCAAGTGTCTTCCTCTGTGCTGCGGCTGGAGGGCATGCGGGCTGGCATGGCCGGGGGCTTCGTTGCGTTTCGTCCGATCGTCATCGGCAACCGGTCCAACGTCACGCTGGTGAGGACCATGCTCATGATATTGCGATCAGTAGTCCAGTCAAGTGACTTGCCTTGTTCATGCAAGGGGACTCAAGTACGGGCAACAGGCAAATTATCAGCAACAGTCTTGCATGTGGAAGCCTGTGGAAGGACCGCAGCTGCCGAGGCAGTCGGGGGCTTCAGTGCCGAGACCAACTTGGAGGTGGTTGATGGCTCCACAGTCAGCGTTGACCAGGCGGAAGCTCCTGGAGGCGGTGCGGGGTTTCGTGCCCTGGGCGATGTGCGGATTGCGGGCGCTTCAACCCTGCGAATCTCCAGAAGCACTGCGCAGGCGGGAAATGGCGGTGGGGGATTGGCCAAGGATGTGCTGGTTACGGAACAGTCGCAACTCCTGGTCTCAGATGCTTCTTCCGGCGGACATGGTGGGGGCCTCGAACTTCAAGGCGCTCTTCAAGTGATGGACCGGTCCACCATCCGCCTGGAGAGGTGCTGGGCACAAGAGAGCGGAGGAGGTGTCAGGGCGAAGCGCGACATTCTGCTGGCTGGTGGATCGCAGCTTTGGGTGTCAGATGCTGCGTCCGAGCAGGGCAGCGGCGGTGGCCTTCGGACTCCAAGCAGTTTGACGATTGCAGAAAGTTCCAGGATGGAGCTGCAGAACGTCTCAGCCCAATGGGGGGGAGGGCTCTATGTTTCTGAAACCCTCCTCCTAGATGGTGCTTCCAACCTCTCTATACTGGAAAGCACTGCGACGGTGGGGGATGGTGGAGCTTTTGTCGTTGAAGAATTGTTGCAGGTGAGCAATTCCCGACTACATGTGGAAAGTGCCAGGGCTCACAAGACTGGGGGCGGTTTTGCGGCCCGGGTAGTCAACGTCAGCACCGGCTCCTCACTGACGATCCTCCTCGGCTTTGCGGGCAAAAACAGCGGCGGTTTTTTCTCCAAAACGCTGGAGCTGTCGCACTCGAGGCTGGTGGCCTCGCAGTGCTCCTCGCGGGACGGCGGGGGTTTCCGCACGGAGAGCGCTTCGTTGACGCGGGCGCACCTGAGCATTTTGGGCGGCGCCGAGCGAGGAGGTGGCTTCTTCGTAGAGAGGAGCATGGAGGCCTCAGACTCGGAGCTGTGGGTGGCCGGGTGGCCCGGCCAGCGCGGCCAGCGCGGCAGCATGACACAGCAGGCGGCCGATGCCGCGCTGGGCAGCGGTGCCTTCCTGCAGGGCCCTCTACGCCTCACGCGCTCGGCCCTGCACCTGCAGAACCTCCAGGGCAGAACCGCGCTGGTGTCGCGCTGCCTGGAACTCTCGCAATCCTTGGTGGTGGTAAATGCCACCACGGCGGTGGGCATCTCTCTGCAGAATGCAGCCTGCAGCTGCGGCCGCGCCCTGCGCGTGGACGGCGCCCTCGTCGGCTCGGGTATCTCCTCGGCCCTGCTCTCTGTCGACCCGTGCGGCGACGAGACGCTGGCGGTGACGGATGTGTGGCTCCAGACTTCGCGCGCCGCCGTGGCAGAGACCACAGCCCACACCCGCGTTCGCAACGTGACCGTGGAGTACCTGGAGCCCCTGGATGCCGCAGTGCTCCTGAACGCCCCGAGCTTCGACGTGGAGTCCGCGAAGGTGTCCTGCGCCGCTTGCACGGACGGCGTGACCTTCGGCGTCGCCGATGGCTTCGGCCTGCAGGTGGTCAGCGCTTCGTGGCTCCGCTGCGGCAGCGAGGCGGCGCTGAACGACAGCTCCACCCAGCGCTGCGGCTGTGTGCCGCCCCAGGTGCCGGACAAAAGCAGCTTCGGCGACTACGTCAAGCCGTGGGAGACGCGGGACTACTGCGTCTACTGCCCGCCCAACTTCGAATCGCACGATGACGATGATGACTGCCACAAGTGCCCATTGCATAAGGCCGACTTGACCATGGTTTCAAAGCACAATAGAACGCAATTGTGTGCCTTTTACTTACAGAGATGCTAGCGCATTCATGGTGACAGCAGTCCGTTGCCCTCCTTCGTAGCACGTAGTGACGTAGTGAGCTCTTGTCCAGGCCTGGTCTGAGGGCACAGGGGATGCCTGCGTGGCCTGGCCGGCGCAGAGTGCGGTGCACGTGCCGCTCCTCTTGGCCGCGGTGGCCTTCGTGTTCCTTGCGGCGGCCGCCTTCGAGATCCTCGCCGCGCCGCTGGCCATCGTGGACGCTGAGGCACCAGCAGGCCAGGGCCTTCTCGTCACTGTGCAGGGCCCCATGTGCAGTTTGCCCAAGCTGGTGGCAAAACACGTGCACCGCAGAGCTACCTACAGCTTCCGTGGCACGGGCTTGCCCTGGCTGGAGCCACAGGGTGCCAAGCGGCACGTGAAGGCCGGCGTCAGCCTGGGCCGCTGCAAGCTGCAGCTGCCACCGCAGCCGGAGCAGCCGCCCTATGCCTGTGCGACCAGTCGGGGCGTCCTACACGTCCACGGCTACGGGATGATACTGCTGCAGTGCTGGCTCCTCCTCTTCTTCTTGCTCCTCTTCCCCACTGCGCTGCTCGTAGTTCTAGTCTCGGGCAACGACCTGCCGCACGTGCTGGCGACAGCCGGCCTCCTCTTCCTGCTGCCGCTGACCATCTGCGCCGCAACGCTGCACCGGGCCGTGCCATGGCTGCTGCGCCGGCAGCGGACGCCGCTGCAGCGTGCGTGCCAGGAGTACCTTGATGGGCTCAGCGTCGGGCAGGAAGCGCTAGAGCTGCCAGAGGCCGACGAACGGGATCACCCGAAGAACCAGGGCCTGGCGATGAGCGCCTTGCAGCATTTCTGGGAGCACTTCAAGCGCTTCGTCCTCGAGAGGCACCGCGCCCCATACCATTTTTCCCTCGATTCTTTATGTTTCGCTCCCTCTCTGTCCCTCCCCTCGAAAGGAACATGCACTACCTCGTGGCCAACATCGTCGAGCCCCTCACAGAAAGAAGGCGGACATCCTTTGCGCGTCTCCTGGGCGGCAAAGAGGTGATGTATTTCGTGTCGCACAGTTGGGGAACCCCTTTCCAGCACTTTGTGCAATGCCTGCGCCGTCACTCGGACTATACTGCTGCCCCGGATGTCACCTACTGGATCTGCTCTTTTGCCAACAACCAATGGGACATCGCCAGCGACATCGGAGTCGGCGTGCTCGACAGCGCCTTTGCCAGGGTCCTCCTCGCGGGCGTGCAGGGTGTGGTCATGGTACTGGACCACGAGGTCCAGCCCCTCACGCGTCTCTCGGCATCTCTGTTTTGCTTTTGTTCCTTCTTTCCTGCATCTTCTTCTATGTGTCTTGTCTTTCGTTATATCCTTCTGATCTTTTCGAAAGAACGAGCACGTGCTTTTCATGGGTGAATGGATGGATGAATGAGTGGATGGATGAATGAGTGGATGGATGAATTTGTGAATGGATGGATAAATGTATGGATTGATGTGGGATGTTTTCCATTCATGTTTGGCCCTCTTTGATTGCGGCCCCTCCTGCACCAGGTACGGGATCGGCCCTCTTAAGCAAGGGATTGAGGGAGAGAGGCGAAGAGGGCTGAGAGGCCGTGTGAAGTTACCCGGGGCTCTGGTTGCGGCCACGAGGCCTCTTGAATTACTTGGGGTCTTTTCTCTTTCAGCTTGCCAGGCCACAAGGCGGAAAATCGCGAAGTAATCTCTGGTTTCGGTCTCCTTACGCAATACTTGGATTATAAATACAAAGATCGGCGAAAGCGAACTTCCCACTCACTAAGGTTTGGGCTTAGGGCATGAACCAGCAAGCTACCGGGTTCGGGGTTTGAGTTCAGGGTCGAGATGTTCTGATGATGGTGAAGATGACCAGATTCCCTACTCAAGGATTCAACAAGTAAGGTGTCCTTAGCAAAGGCACCAGTCAGTCCCACATCTCCCCTCCCAAATCTCATAATTTACTTCTTATACTGTTTGTCATTCTTGTGGCAAGCGACCTTTGACGGGCTTCATTTGCAAATGCAAGTTTGTGTGTGGAACTGCTTGCAGCCAGGGGTGGGCCAGGGTTTAGGGTTAAGGGGTTTAGGGGTTTACGGGTTAGGATGGTTGGGGCTCCAACATTTGGGTAAGGTTGCTCCGACTGAAATCAATTCTTAGTCTCACAAAACCCTCCCATCATACTCCCACACCACTTTCACCTCACCGCGATCAATCACTTCCCCCATTTTCCTCAAGACAGTACGCGGACAGTACAAGAAATAGATTATTCAGGTGAGGATCTGTCCGGAATAGTGAAACAAATCCTTTCCTTGCCCCACACCAACACCACCACCACCACCACCACCACCACCACCACCACCACCACCACCACCACCACCACCACCACCACCACCACCACCACCACCACCACCACCACCACCTAGTTTAACCCCACTGCGAGCCCAAGAAGCTCAATGATTTCAACGTGTGAGTACTAACTGAGCAGGTAGGAATCTCTGTCAGCCTCTGGGCTGGGCTTTTTAGTGCTCCAGCGCTTTCACTCCGGGAGACGATTATCTATAGCCCAGACAACTTTCAGCGTCTACTTGACACATGTTTTGCGTGCTTTCTGCACACTACACCTCCCCCCCCCCACCCGCACAGCCCGCACACACATGGCCTACAGCCCCCCCCTTCAACCTCCCGTTTACGGGTTGCCCTGATATGTCACAACCTTCGAGTTGCTTTCGCCTCTGCAGCCACCTGCCTCCGCACGCGCAGACAAAAGGCGGGTGGTCTAGCTTTCGTTGCCCCGATCTCACGTGATGATGATACTTCTGAATACTGCTGCTGACGCTGGATTAGGCTGACGACGATGAGGATGATGATTGTGGCGGTTGTAGTTTTGGTGGCGGTTGCTGGTGCTGGTGATGGTGATGGTGATGATGGTCAGGATGATACAGGATGATGATGATGATGATGATGATGATGATGATGATGATGATTTTCATGATGATGGTGATGATGATGATGATTTTCATGACGAGGATGATGATGATGGTGATAGTGGTGATTAAGATAAAGAAGATGACGATTATGATGATTACGGTGATGACACCATCACTATCATCATCATCATCATCATCATCATCATCATCATCATCATCAGCATCAGCATCAGCATCAACATCAGCCTCGCAGCATCATATATCTGTCTCTCTCTCTCTCTCCCTCTCCCTCCCTGCCTGCCTCCCTCCCTCCCTTCCTCCCTTGCTGATTCAGTCTCCACACGGCCTTATTTTTTGGCCATCCTCAACAACCAAGGCGTCTGGTGCCTTTTTGAATTTCTGTTGGCAAGTCAGCTTCAGCTCGATCTTGTCTTCGCCACACAGTTCGGCGTGCTCGGTGAGCAGGATGCTTCCCCGGACATTGCCCTGCAAATTGGCCGGAGGTTGCGAACGCTCCAGGTGGCGAACTGCCACCTGTCTTCAAATGCATTGAATCAGCTGCACACATGCGTTCGTCTCTGCATCTCATGAGCAGTTTCCCAGGCTAGGGACTTTTGAGTACATTGCGCAAGCCAGGTCATGCATCTGTCGAGGAAGACAAGCGGAAAATCTTCGAGTTCATTCGTTCAGGAGGGGGAAGCCTGACAAACATGGACAGTCAGATCAAGCATCGAATGAGCCAAATTTTGAGCCAGAACTTGCAGAACTTGGCAAGCGCCACGCACGCCCTCCTTGTGGAGATGGGCTGAGGTGTTAAGGTTGTCTACGCCTAAAGCCGTTGTAAGTCATCATGTTTTCCTGCAGCCGCCTTCAAGAGTAAGTCGGATGCCTTAATTAGACACTCAAGCAAAGTGGGTGGGAGCACCGCTTTTAGTTTCTCCGACCTGCGGTCTTATCAGTGAAATGCTTGTCACAAGGCGCAGGCAGAAAGGGCATGCGTATGGCTGGGATTCCTGCAAGCAAAGCAAGTCGAACTAAGATGAAGTAAGGAAGGAATCGTGTCCTTTGTTGTGCAACAAGTTGCAGGAGTATCTTCTCACGAACCCCGGCTCAAATCGCAGCTTGACATTTTAAGCGAGCAAGGTCGTCCCTCCATGCGGAGGGGAGAGGTCTATGCTGAGCCTCCCTGGCAAAGGAATGTGTCGAGGGAGGACTTGCAGACCTGCCGCACCACAAAAGAGGTACTATGCCAGTTCGGGTTGGGCATCTTTCCGGGCGTGGTGCTCGGGCAAGAATCCCAAATCCCATGCAGGTGGTGTTGCAAAACGATGCAGCAGAAAGTGCGTAATGATTGAACGCCCCCCCTGGGTGTGCATGCAGCGTGGCTCAGTGGCAGGGATTCTTGCAAGAGAGTCCTGCGCATGCAATGGTTGCGTGTCGTCGGCATGCATACAGTGACACCAGGACTCCTAGCACTGCAGAAGCCTCTCACGAAGAAACCATCGAACAGGGCTTTCTTTTCGTATTCTCGGAGTTTGAGCCGTCCGTGACCCCGTGATGCTCCGGGCCTGGATTGCTGCGGCTTTTGCACTCAGCGCACACGGTGCAGAGCTCGAAGGCAGGTGTCGGTACAACAGCCCCCTTGCCTGGAGTTCACCGTGCAAGTAGTTCTCAAACCCAAGGGACGAGCTGTGCAGCAAGACTTCATTCTACGTTGGAGGCGCCACAGCACTAGCTGCGCCCCTCCCTAGCACGGTCCATGAGGCCTATGACCTACAGCTACTGATACTGATCGCAGACGTTTAGACGACGAACAACAGTTCTGATCTGCTTGCAAAGGTTTCTGTGCTGGTCATGCTAACGTAGACCCCAAACCGTAAACCGTGAGAGACCGTTTGGGCCCAGAAGTCCGACAGCGACGACATCTTCGCATGTCCAAAACGACGGACAGTTTCGCATTTCGCGTGCCCAGATGTGTACAAGCGATGACACCGCTCACGGCCAGCGAGGCCAGACATCCAAAAGTGACGAGAGCTTCGCAGGTTAGAAAATATCCAGAAGAGACGACCGTTCCGCATTTCGTCACCTATGTGAGAGCGCGAATGCGTCCGACATTCGAGCAAGCCTCGAGGAAACAACTATGGTCTTCATGGCGCCGGCTGTGGGCGTGCGTGCGATCACGCTGTTCCCCTTAGTAGCTTGCATAAACCAAGCCTCTTGATTCGTTGTTGTCTGTAGAGGAGGGAATCCAGACCTTGGCAGGTGCATTGCTTGACGGACCTCGCCGGCTGCAGCTGCGGCGCTTCCAGGCACGCAGGAGTTAGTCACAGTTGTTCGGCTAGGACTTTTAGGGCTGTCCGGGATGATGACGGGAACTACGCGAAGAAATAGTAGTTGTACTGTAGGGTTGTGGGACCACGTCTAACAGCCCTGTGTCGTGTCGTACATGCGAATTGCTGCTTCACACAGCAGATGTGCAGGGCTGTGCAACGGCTGCCTGATCTCCCCAGCCTGATCTGATCTACTGCAGGATCCAGTTGGTAAAAACCTTTTCCGTCTGGGTTCTTCCGAATGTCACATCATGTCACAGGTGCCTTGCCAGCGCCTGGATGCCGCGCAGCTGGCAGAGTGGTGCGGCGGCTCGACCCTTCCTGGTGGCTGCTTCCACGTGGAGCTGCTCGGCACCCCCTTGGCCTAAACCCTAAACCCTAAACCCTAAACCCTAAACCCTAAACCCTAAACCCTAAACCCTAAACCCTAAACCCTAAACCCTAAACCCTAAACCCCAAACCCGAAACCCCAAACCCTGCAGGCCACCGGCAGTGGAGCTGCCGGTCGGCTGTCAGTTGCGGGGCCCGGACGCCGAGGGCAGCGAGGATGGCGAGGCCGTGCTCCTGCTAGGCGCTGGCCAGGCGCCGAGTGACCGTCAAAAAAGGGTTTAGGGTTTAGGGTTTAGGGTTTAGGGTTTAGGGTTTAGGAAAGTGCTCCTGAGTCACCTCGCCTGAGTCGAAAGCAAGAAAGCCATGAGTCCGAAATACCTCGAACCCAAGTCGAAAACAGAAAACCCAGAGAAAACCCGGAAGTCCGGACAGCTTTGATCTCGGATGTGCTAGTGTGCTTTTGAGTTTAAGGTTCAGGGTTTTAGGGTTTTAGGGGTTTAATGGTTTTAGGGTTTAGCCCTCCAGAGAAAACGCCACAAGTCCCAAGAGTTTATGATCGCGGATGTGCTAGGGTTTAAGCTTTAGGGTTCAGGGTGTGGGTTTAGTTTAGGGTTCGGGTTGTAGGGTTTAGGGTTTGGGCGTTTAAGTTTTCAGGCTTTTCGAACCTCAGTAATGCGCTCCTGTTTCGGGCA